TTTTCGATTGAAATAATATAAAATTTCGTGTTGAAATATGACAAATGTATTGTGAAATGTCAAGACATATCTGAAATCACTGCTTATGCTAACAAGTAACAAAACAAAAACACACACAGCAAATATGTAAGATGTCTGTTAATAGTGTTGTATTGAAGAACTGAACGGAATTGTAACCTTATATACTACTGTTTTAGTGAGTAACCTGAGGTAATTTAAATTTTTTCTAAGTTGAGAAAAACGGTACACTTTTCAATTTTAATTTATACATACAAGACCTTTAAACATACTGGTGACTTTGAAAATTGGTTACATTTCTACATAGTTTTTGCCATTCATATGATTACTCCACGTTCACATTACGCCATTTGATTACTCCACGTTCACATTACGTCATTTGATTACTCCACGTTCACATTACGCCATTTGCTAACATAAAGTCGATATTCTTTTGGAGCCTTGTTTCCATAACAAACCTCTTGAAAGTTGATCGATTACATACAAAGATTCAAGCAGTAAGACTATTTTTTCTTTGCTATATTTTAAACAAAACACACACACACACACATATATATATATATAACCAATTATAAAATATAAAAGAATTACGTTTAATTTGATTTCCATCAGATAAAGATAAATTATCTCAATAAGTATTTCCTTTAGGTAAAGTTATTTTACTTCGATGTTATATGTGTTCCATCAACCCCATGTTTTAATCACCTATTTTTGTTTCTTCTGAAATGCACTTCTTAGTTGAAAAAAAGTCTGCCACTAGTATATATGTATATATATATATACAGTTGTGTAAAGTTTAAGAATTTCTTGTCTTGTTTTATCTCACATATTTTGTATTCATTGCTTCTGTCTCTCGGCAGTTCCCGAAGATCTCACGTTTCATAGATTGCGTTTTTAAGAAATATATAAGATATGTTGTAGAGATCAAAGCATTTTCTACTTTTTTTTAAACATGGAGCTGGAAATATATTTGGTTTTTCTTCTTTCATTTATGTAAGTTAATCACTACAAACTTGTCTGATAATATATCACGAATACATTTCCAAAAGCTTCGTTTCTTGTCAAGCAGAAAGACAGAATACGGTCCCGTTAAGGAAGCGGGAATAAAAATAGACATTGAAATATGTAGAAGTTTCGAAGTATTATAAAAGATAAATGTACTTCATTGTTTGTTTTTTTCTTTTTATTTCTGAGCACCATAGGTTTGACAAAGGCAGCTGTAGTTTGTGTCAAGATTTTGGTGAAAGTCTACTGTCTTTTGCAAAGTAACTTACCTATATAGAAGTCCTGTTTTCAGGGTTAAACTAGTCAATGTATACTGGGAGAATGTCTGGAAGTCATGTTTACTTTAGTCTTAATTACGAGTGCAAGGTTGGAAGGTGTGATATTTGTACGAAATATAAAGGTTGTGGATGTAGTTACGATGCTGTTCCTGTTGAAGTTAAAGTGATCAAAAAGAAAGGTCGTACAAAACGTTAGAATGCAACCAAAACAAAAAATTACAGAGCAAGAGGTTTAGAAAGAATAAGATACTTTGTTCTTCTCATTGTAATTACTTTCATTGTTTTATATCGATCAGTGGCTGACAAACTTAGTTATGATTGGTCAGTCTGCAACCTATAAAATTATCGAAAAACATTTACTGTCGCTCCTACTAAGTGGGCGGTGTCCTAGATATTATGAACATGTTAAAAAACATTTTTACAACTAAAATCGCGATCAAAACGAAATGACATTGAGCAAAAGTAACTAGGTAACCTTGCTTTAGGAAAACTTTTCATGAATACCAAAACAACATTTTGGGAGTCTCATTACGAGGAAAGAGATAGAACCCCAAACTTATGCAAAGTTTTATATAAGAAACTGGCATAGCGAATTTTCGCTTGTTCAAAGATGATAGCAAAACTTGGTCATCTCTGTACGCTCTACTCACGACTTTAGGGTTAAATAAAAATATTATACGTTTGTTACTCTATCGCATCATATTTGTATTTTAATTAGTAAATGATTATATTGTAAGCACAAAGACAGATAGATATATATTAAGAGGTCTTATTTCATACCCTTTATCAAAACTTGTAGGTTTTTGTATATCACAAAATTCATATATTTGGGAATGTATGTTAGCACTATGTTAATCTTTAACATCATCATATTTTTATTAGTGATGTTAACTGAAGTACAATATTATTATGAAAAATGTGAATTTATTGGCTAGTTTATAAAGACTGAATTTTAAAATTCCTTATTATTTGATACAAATGTTCAAGTTCACTTGATTTTAGCTTAATGATTTCAAAGTGTAAGATTTCAACTGTGTTTCACCCGCTATAATATGTACATAAAAAGTATATTATTATGTTATGTGAATTGTCAACCTCGGGGTTGCGGGATCGGAACTTGTCGTTGAAAATACTCATACTTTTAAGCCTTGAGAACATTATACATATATATTATGTCAGTTAATCCCATTACTCGCTTGTAATAAAGTACCCCTTGAGTTGCTAGTAACTGCCTTCCTTCTAGTACATCACTTCAAACTTAGGGATAGCTAGAGCAGATAGCCCTTGAATAGCTTATGTGGAAGTGTTTAGTTTTATTAATGCTTGCACAAGGCAAGAGTTAGGAGCAGAAAAATTCAATAATTCAAATAGCTAAAATACACGTTACCCTTAACGCATCTGCTAACCCTGAAAACATGTTTAACTACTCATACAAAATCTGGAACTCAAACGTATTTTACTGTTCATTAATAAAATACATTTCATTTGTAAAACTCACGTTAGATTTACACAGATTAAGAACCCGCAACATTTGTATCAAGTGCAAGATATATGGATAATTTATGGATAATCAAAGTGATGATACATGTTAGATTATCAAAGGAAGAAAGAGCTCTCAACAAATTTATCATTCACTTGCTAAATGTTATGTAACGCCGGTCGACTTCTAAACATTGTATGTGCTTCTAAAGCTTTTTTTTATTTGCGACGTTTTGAAAAGACACGTAGACACACACACACACACACAAACAAACATATATATATTTGTAAATTATAGCCAATTTATAACTGAAATCATACTCTGCTTTAAAAAAACGTCATCACTGATTCAGCTGACCTTAACCTAACCGTTATTTAATTACAGAAACAATCTTCATCATTGATACAAATGAACCTAATCTTACTGCAACTTCAATACAGGAACGATCTTCATCATTGATATAAATGAACCTAACCTTACTGCAACTTCAATACAGGAACGATCTTCATCATTGATACAAATGAACCTAACCTTACTGCAACTTCAATACAGGAACGATCTTCATCACTGATACAAATGAACCTAACCTTACTGCAACTTCAATACAGGAACGATCTTCATCATGGATACAAATGAACCTAACCTTACTGCAACTTCAATACAGGAACGATCCTCATTATTGATACAAATGAACTTAACCTTACTGCAACTTCAATACAGGAACGATCCTCATTATTGATACAAATGAACTTAACCTTACTGCAACTTTGCTACAGAAACGATTCTCTTCGTTAATAAAAATGAGCCTAACCTTACTGCAACTTTACTACAGAAATGAACGTCATCACTGAAACAAGTCACGTATGCACAAATTGCTTCCAAAACATATCGGTTCAACTGACACATAACTTAAGCAGCTGGAGAATAAAACAGGTATTAATGCTATTCCATATGAAGGTGTACTCTTCAAGTCACTGGACGTAGTCCTATATATTTCTGTGGAATCAGATTGTTTAAACAAGTGCTAGGGAGCCATCGTCCTCGTACTGTAGATAGACTATCCAAAAGGTGCAGGAAGGAGTAGTGGGCTTTGGACATGAAAGCCCTAAGCCAAAGCCTTTTTCATAGAAATTATGCTTCAGGGCTATTGTAGAGATAAACGGTCGTCAGCAAGAATACGATGGACGTGGAGAGAAGATTATAATGGCGTGGTGAAGCTCCAAAATCATTTAAATATAACATCTCCAACCTATGTATTATTCCTTTACAGAAACTACTATCTTCACTGATACAGTTCTACATAACCTAATTGTAATTACACTAAAAAAATCGATCCTCATCAATGATGCATTTCAACCTAACCTTACTTAAAGTTTACACAAGCGACAATTATCACTTAAGTGAATGAGATTAAATATTACTTAATTAATAACAAAGAATGTCATTACGGACAGAAATGAGCCTAACATCAGAGTACTATGCTAATAAAAAGACAATCACCACATCGATATAGATGTGCCTGATTTAACGTCGTTACGGTCGTGTGCCTAATTATGATGTAGTTTTATAAAAACATTTTCACATCTGTAATTGTTTCTTAAAAAGTAAGAAACACACAGAGAGATCAACATTATTAAGACGTTTCATTAAATAAAAATTACCAAGTATTGATAAGCGTAGAAACGATGTACTGAAGACAAATCCAGTTGAATACTAGCATAATTTTAAAAAGATAATCCTAAAATGTTTGGATAGCATCTAAAGGTAGATGTGAAAGTTTACTTCTTATATAATGTAGTACCAGAATCAGTTACAAGTTTGATCATACACTAGTTTCCATGGATACTGTAGCTTAATTTAATCATTTTATTTGTTGTAGAAAATATTAACATAATAGTTACTTCGTTCTTTTAGTTACGAAAAATACCTTTTAGAACATAGGTATACTGAATCAAAGTTGCTGTAAGCTTCATCTTTCATATGTCTCTAGCTAAGTATATATTAAAGATAAAATACGAATCAGAGTTCACTTTAAGAATTTAAATCTCGATTTATTACAATCTGAATCAATATTTTTTAGTAGGTAGGATTGATGTCAAGTTTGTACTTATTCCAAACTGATAATATATATATATATATATATGTGTGTGTGTGTGTGTGTTGCTGTTAATTACAAGGATAAGCATCATTAAGCGATATAAAATAAAAATAGCTTTTACCTGGCATCTGAATAGTGTGTCTATAGCAATCCTCTACTGTGGGTTTATAGCTGGAGGAGAAGAATCCTTCCAAATATTGGACCACCAGGGAGGTCTTCCCTACTCCCCCTGCCCCTAGGACTACCAGCTTGTTTCCGCGCATGGCACGAAGCACGTGCTGAAAACCCACACCTTTCAGCCCATACTATCACATGAAAAAAATATTTAGCTGTTTTGTTTGTTCCACAGACTCATTTGTCAACAGTACGGCACAATAAAGATTTATATGATATATATATATAGATAGATAGATATAACACTAGCAGATCAGACTTCGTCTCTTATAACCTGGTCCACACCGTGTAAAGAGAGCTGGTCTAAGAGTTTGCGTAAGCTTTATGAATCGGTGCTTGGGCGCAAGAGACTTTACTTGGATGTGGACGACTGCGGCTTGACGCTGTGATCTAAATGTGGCAAATGACAAGAGCTGCGCGCACGACGGACGTGAACACAGGTAAGACATGACGTGTCATAGGAAGCAGTTTGGGTTCCCATCACGCAATTACTTCTGAGCTTTACATTGCGTGTGGTGGATTCGCTACCATATCACTCGAAATATTATTTATCGTATCTTCTCTACATTTTGTTTATTTAAAAACGCTACGATACATTTATAAACAAAAAGTTAGAAAATAAATTTAGTAAATCATTCTATTTATTTAAAAAAAGTTATTATTATATTAAATAATAAATAAAGACATAAGCCAGAAGTTGAACTTCAATTAACTTATACTTTATTATTAACTAAATGTATATCGTATAACACACTCGTTTGCCACAGCAACATAATCCTACACCTTGCAAAAATAGTTTTAATGGATATTTTGTGCCTCTACCTGTTTTGAAAATGGAAATGTTTTTCTTCACGCTTAGAACAACTACGTATGTTAATTTGACTAGAATCATAACATACGAAGTAAAATAACATCATATTTGTGAGATTTGAATACATGTTTTGGAATTTTTCTTTTAACTGTTACTTGTTTTGAAAGCTTCAGGCGCCAAGGAGATTACGAAAATAATTAAAATAACTGAAATCTGAATACTGAAATATGTTTTTATAACACATTTACCTTTGAAATAGATGCACTATTTCAACCAGAAGTCATTGTTTTTGATTAACTATATTTTGATTGGAGAAAGTTTCGATTCTGTTATTATAGATATTTATTACACCGTATATATTACATGTTACATATAATTTCAAGACAATAAGAGACCTGTTGTTTCATCTAGGCCGTCCCATCCACTAAACTAAACTTTTATATAAAAAACAAAACACTCAAAGCCAGCCCTTATCATTCAAATATTTATCTTAAATTAACTGCATTCACCACATCTGAAGACAACTCATTCTAAAGGCCAACCACCCTGTTAGAAAAATAAAACTACCTTAGCTGAAGATGACTCCTACCTTGCCAATATTTGTGTCTCCTGGTCCTACTTTTCTCACGATAAAGTGGGAAAATATATGATACATCAACACTATCAGTTCCCTTAATAATCTTAAACACAACAATAAGATCCCTTATAACCCTTCTTTTTCAAGAGAAAACAATTTTAGAAATATTAACTTATGACATCTTATGACATCCTTTTTTAGTGGCCCTCCTCCGAAAATCTATAAGTAATTCAATCTCTTTCCTAAGATAAACAAGCCCAAGACTGAACACAGTACTCCAAATATGGCCTAATCAAATGACCTATACAATGAAGTAATAATCTCTTTACAGAGTATTCAATATTTCTGTATATACAACATAAAATCCTATCTACCCTGCCACCAGAAACAGCACATTGCTTGGATGGCTAAAGAGATTGATCAACTAGAATACCAAGATCCTATTCTTTCATAACACCGTTAAGGTTATTCCCACCAAAATTATAATCATAATTTAAACTATGATATCCTACATGTATTACGTTGCATTTATTATAATTAAAAGTTATCTGCCATTTATTCGCCTAACTCAATAAACAATCCAAATACTTTTGTAAAGCAACATCCTACTCTTCCAGCCGTCAACACTTAAAAGCTTAATATCATCAGCAAAATATAACACAATACCTGAAATAAGTTGTGTTTCTTTGCTCTTGTTACTATATTCTACCGCTTTAGTGACTTTAATAACGCTCCTAGGATATAATTTTACTGAGAATCTATATGATTTGATTGAATCTTTATTTTGATTATACTTTCTCCCGTTGTTACAGAAAAGCAGATTATTTACATAATCTTTAACACTTTAACAAAAAATGATACTTCTTACTTATTTATTCTTCTTTCTACGATTCCTTGTGATAATTTTCTACAGTTGAAAATTTAACACTAATTTTACTCAATTACTGCTACATTTTACCTATACCTATTTAAAGTGGCGCCAAAAATGTTTGAAATACATTTCAGAATTTAATATTCATATTTTATATTACATACCCAAAAAGATAACAGATGAAGATATGTTTTATTTTTCAGAATTTTTACATTTCCTCAAAATACATTCGTTAAAATGTTTGCTGGAGTATACATGATTATGTAAATTCAACATAATTTTAAACTATCTGTTCTAACTAGCATTAAAATCAGCACAATGTACACATTCTAACATTTCATTTCTAGAACTGCAATTGAATAAAACAAAATATCTTTACTATTTTTTTATTACATAAAAGACAATTCCTGCTTAAACAACTGAAAATATTGTCCATAAAAAATCTAATTTTTTATGCTTATTCAATAATGTATATAAGTTTTTACTTACATACTTATATAAGTATATAAGTCTTCTTGATCAAATGAATTTATTGTCTTTGAAAACATATTCCAGATTTATTATATACTAGTGGTTTTAATCGTGTTTGAAATATTAATATGTATAGTTGGACAATGAGTCACTATAAAAGGTATAATTTTATCTTTACGTTTATTAATTCCTATTTCTATTTTTATTAAAATGTTATTAATATCAATTTCAAAACCTCGCAATATAATATTTTCCGGATAGTGACATTGAACTAAAAACTGTTTCAGCTCTAGTAATCTATTGACTCTCGTTTCTTCATTGGTAGCCAAACGATATAATTTACTTGCAAGATTTACTAGAACGTTTAATTCTATATGTTTAGGATGATTAGTAAAAAATCTACATACTGATCTGAGATTGTGGATTTGTAAAAAAATATCAGTTACAATTTCTTATTATGGCGAAACACTTACCAGCACATCTACCTCCCCCCAGTGGCATAGCGGTATGTCTGCGCACTTACAACGCTAGAAACCGGGTTTCGATACTAGGTGGTGAGCACAGATAGCCCATTGTGTAGCTTTGTCTACAAACATCTAAAACGATAAGGCGTTTTCATATCTTTCCAAGGTAAACTTAATCTCCTTATTTATCGAATTTAAAATCCCAACAAACGTATTAATTTCTTGAGTATCTATATCACAAGAATTTCTTCTAGGAATCTTTTCCATTTCTCTTATGTAAACTACAAAATTCTCTTCAAAATAATGAAGTACTATATTATACAAATGTTCTTCAAAAACTAGTGATGTTAGCAGATTTTACACCAATTTATCAAAACTTTATAAGGATAAAACTAAACCTTTTAAGATAAAATCTTTAATAAACTTTGAATTAATTAATGTCTATTATTAATACAGAAAATATTTCACAGCTTTAAGTCTATAATCGTGTTCGAAACATGAATATAGAACTACTACATCTAAAGGAACAAAACTCTAATTTTGTTCTACTTTTCGGGTAATATGTCATTAAATTCAAAATTATCTGTAATGATACTTGGGTTATGAGATAAAAAAAAGTTTTAATAATACATCCACGAAATCATAAAAATATTCTTTAAGTTTTACTTTCCTAGAAAATTCATTGGTATCTTCTACCAATTGAATGTTATTAGACTTATATTTGGGAGTAACTATTAATCAATTTAGTAGGCTTATATTTGGAAGTAACTATTAATCAATTTAGTAGGCTTATATTTGGAAGTAACTATTAATCATTTCCATCATTTTCCTTATCATTTTTTTTGTAAGATGTAATAGAAATTACTTTCTCCTTTCCTATTACAGACTTTTTAAGAATCTTTCCTTCCATTTGTCAATAATTTTCCTTTTAATTTTTCTCCCTTTCTCAGATCTATTCTATTCTTCTGTATTTGTCATATAAACCACAATTTATTTTATTTCAATTTTTCGTTACTTTTCCTCCCTTTCATCCTATATAAGGCATTCTAGTATTCTGTCAATACTTCAAAAAATCTTTATAATATGTGTTTCCATTCAATAGATTTTACAATTTTGAGTGACTTTCCGTGAATATTTTTTTAATTTTTTACCCTAACTTCCAGAGCTTCAATATCAACCTTCAACTTTTCCAGTTTTAGTTTCGAACTGTGTGGAAATACATATACATATTTACAGTTTAATCAAAAGCCATAAAAACAAGATCAAAATGTTATCAAATATAAAGACACTTAACCAAAAACAATAACCTTCCTTACTTTTGGCTGAGATAATGGCTTCTATTTCCAACCCCCTCCTCCAGTAGCACAGCGGAATGTCTGGGGACTTACAATGTTATTGTGTTGCTTTGTGCTTAATTAGAAACAAACAAACAAGCAAATTTCCAAGGGAAATGTGTTATAAAATCGTATTTCAATATTTAGATTTCAGTGATTTTAATTTTTTTGCATAATCTCTACAATGTCTGAAATGCTTCGAACCAAGTAAGTGTTTAAAGAAAGTAAAGTAAAAGAAAATTTTCAAGACATATATACAAACCTCACAAATATTGGGTTATTTAATTTTACATGTTTTGAGTCTAGTCAAATTGATATGTGCAGTTGTTCTAAAAGTGAAGGAAAACTTTTATATTTTAGATACAGATCGAAGCACAAAATATTCATTAACATCATTCTTGTATGATCCGGGTTTAGATTTATATCGGAACTGTGTGTGTGTGTTATATGATATAAATGTATTCAGTAAGAAACGATAAGTTACTTGAAGTTCAACATTAGGCTTTTGTTTTTCTTTATTATTTAATATACTAATAAACCATTTTGTAAAATAAATAGCATAGTTTGCTAACATTATTTAGTTTATATATATAATGACTGTATTTTATGTGTGTACATTTTGGAAAAACGCGTATTTGGTTAAGATTATGCTTAATTGGAAAGTTGTTATCTGAACGTTTCTATTATACATTGTTATAGTTTTGAACTATATGTAAATATCCACTTACTTATTGTGTGATAAAAAATCATAAAAACAAGATCTCTCAAAAATTAAACTCTAAGGAGTGACCTTTAAAGTCTTGAAACCAGTAGAAAATAATACAAAAGAGTTCAAGTATTGTGGTGTTTTAATATTTGTGTTCACTCGTGGAAAATTGTGAGGCTTTT